TCACAAAGCTCGAGATCACAAAGCTTGTTTCAGGGATGCTCTACTTCGGGTACATGATCATCATCTCTTACTCGTTTTTCGTGCTAACCGGTACAATCGGTTTCTACGCATGTTTCTGGTTTGTTAGAAAGATCTACTCATCAGTGAAGATAGACTGAATAGATATAGTGACACATAACTTTTGATGCCTCTTGAGGTTTTGTTGGATGGTTTAGTCGTAGTTTGAAACAAAACGTTTGTAACATTTTCATGAATGGTTCTATATTCAATACATTCTCAATGTAACTACAATATAGTAAAATTTAGTTTAAAGCTGATAGTTTATGCTTGGTCTCCTTAATCATTTTCTCTGTTGACGAAGCACTTGAGAATCCTAGCTTCTGCATCATTTCTTCCAATCTTTTCCCGTTTGCTAGATACAAATACCCAATCTGAGATATTGAACAGACGAAAAAACGGAATTTACATAAGTTAGAAGCACGAATTTGTGTTACACTTATATTGAGTTTCGGATCATGAACAAACTTACAAGTGTTTCCAATGATGAGGCCTTGTTGTAAACCGCAACACCAGCACGCCTAGTTGACCGTGTTTTAACCGAGCCTACATTTTTCCCCCATCGAAGTATATCCCTGCACCGAAAAGTTTTCATCAGATAGATACAATACTTGCTTTCTGAAACAAAAATTGGAACTTGTGTAGCAATGGAGAGATAGTAGTAAGGAGCCCTACCAAAATCAATTTAGCCACAGTGATGCAAAGGTATGTATGAATTTACAAACTAAAAAAGGGGCTTTTGTTACCTTACCTTTCATCTTTCGTTAAGAAATCATCATCAACAAGCTTCTGCAACAAAGCATACTGAAGAAGAAAGACACAGAAAAGTTTAGCTTAACCAAGAACAATGATAACAACATCAATGCTGAGAGAACTATGCTGATTCATATTTCAGGCCTAAAGTAGTAGATGGATGAGAGAAATAACAACTTTGCAAACAGAATGAAATTGCAAGCAAAATGTGAATCAGAAATAAACAGAGATTATACATATGGAAGCATTATAGCGTTTTACCCAAAAGGGTAAAAGAAAAACATACTTGTGCTTCACATCGCACCACTGCTCTAACACGATCGTTATATTCTTCAATACTAAGTGGAGGGAAAAGAAAATGCCGACGAGCATATATCTACAAAGCCGAGATAAGATGGTTAAGAGATCAAAAAGGAGTATCAACAGAATGAAAATCTTAATGCTATAAACACTAACATGTATCATACGTTGACATTCTCGTATCCGTAAACACCAAGGATTAAGTACAAAAACTTGTCTAAAAATTAAATCAAGAAGCACAAGCTCATTAGTGACTCTTAATGCTATAAACACCAACATGATCATCATTTTGTCATTCTTGCATCCTAAAACAGCAAGGATTAAGTACAAATGACTCATAGTGGAATTGAAATACTAACCTCGTAGATTGAATCACCTATATAAGCTAATGAAGCAGCATTGAAAACAGATCTAGGTTTCTCCACTTTTGGTGGACTTGGGAACCATTTCTCATATCCAATACAAGTATCTTCAAATTCATCACCAATATCTACATAAACCCACAAATTTTAGTAACAATCTCTCTGTCAAAATCATGAATTGAACACAAATTTACAAAACCCAACTCGTTACCTTTGCTTGCGGGACGTTTAAACAAATCGGAAACTGAGACGTCGTCAGTTCCCGTTGTTAAAACTATCGCCGGAGAAGATGAAGACGGAGACGACGGTGGAACAAAAGAGCTCAAATTAGGGTTTTTCTTCACATTACGCGGCGAATTTGGATTGTATCTGAGTTTTGGCTTCGTATCTAAAGCAGCTCTCACTAGAGCAGAGCTTGCTGATAAAATCGCCATTTTTTTTTGTGTTCTCAAGCTTTTTTTTTTTTTTTACGATAATAAATAAACAAAGAGTCGGTGACATTTACTTATCCACGTGGCGTGTTTTTATTTGTCTGTTTTATTAAGTTAAATACAAGCTAACCGCTTTAGCAGAATTCGAGCCTTGTTCTCTCTTCTTCTTCCCCGATTTCTAAAACCCTAACGACTAGATTTCTTCTTCGTAGCTTAACTTTCCGATCATAATCTCTTAATCGGAGAAATTGACTCCGACCATGAGTCGCTACGATAGTCGTACCGGAGATTCCACTTCGTACCGTGACCGTCGAAGGTAAGTGTGTTTGTGTTTGATTTCGTAACCATGAATAGAGCATGTATCGCCTTCTCGACTTAAATTGTTGCTAATTCCACTCCTTTGAAGCTATAATTTGTTGGGTTTTTGAGTCTGTAATTGATAGAGGAAGAAAATCTGGTTAATTTTGATTGAGTGAGTTCAAATTTGCTTTTTTTTTTGTTCTTCTTAGTGATTCTGGGTTTGGTGGAGCTTCAACATATGGACATACATCAAGCAAAAGGGATAATGATGGCAATGAATCACCAAGGAAGCTAGATTTGGATGGTTTGACTCCTTTTGAGAAGAATTTCTATGTTGAGTCTCCTGTTGTGGCAGCTATGACAGATGCAGAAGTTGAGGAATATCGGAGATTGAGGGAGATTACTGTCGAAGGTCGAGATATTCCAAAACCCGTCAAGAGTTTTCGTGATGTTGGGTTTCCTGGTAAGTTGAGAACAAACTACAGCTTGAACTTAGTGATAGAGAGGTTGTGATTGATTTCACCTACTGATAAGAGTTTCTTGATTGGTCCAGATTATGTTTTGGAAGAGATTAAGAAGGCTGGTTTTACTGAACCTACGCCTATACAATCTCAGGGGTGGCCAATGGCGTTGAGAGGACGTGATCTCATCGGCATTGCTGAAACTGGTTCGGGAAAGACACTTTCTTACTTACTTCCTGCAATAGTCCATGTGAATGCCCAACCGATTCTATGTAAGGCGTGATTTCTGCTTGTGGAGTTTTTCTTTTATGATTATTGTTTGATGTAAAGTTGTAAAGACTATACTGATTCGAATAAATTTTTCCAGCTCCTGGGGATGGCCCAATCGTCTTGGTTCTTGCTCCAACACGTGAACTGGCTGTGCAGATACAGCAAGAAGCGTCTAAATTTGGTTCATCGTCAAAAATTAAGAGTACTTGCATCTATGGTGGAGTTCCAAAAGGGCCTCAAGTGCGTGATCTTCAGAAAGGTGAATTGCTTTGGTTCAATGCTTTTTACTTCAGTTCTTAAACTTTTGCCTTTCTTACGTTCTGTAGATCATTCTGATTGTGATTATTGGTCTATGGATTTAGGTGTGGAAATCGTTATAGCTACTCCTGGGAGGTTAATAGACATGATGGAGTCAAACAACACAAACCTGCGAAGAGTTACTTATCTAGTTCTGGATGAAGCTGATCGAATGCTGGATATGGGGTTTGATCCTCAAATTCGAAAAATTGTTTCACACGTTCGTTTTCTTAACTCTGTCTCTCTCACATATATGTGTATAATGGGTTTGTTTTGTATTTGAATCTTTTGAAATCTCTGCAGATTCGGCCAGACCGTCAAACTCTGTACTGGAGTGCTACTTGGCCTAAGGAAGTGGAACAGCTATCGAAGAAGTTTCTTTATAACCCATACAAAGTAAGAAACACTTCTCTTAGTTGTTTCTAATAATGGTTTAGTTTTAAACAAAAACTGAGCAGCCTTCTTTGGTCTTAAGTGCAGGTGATCATTGGATCTTCTGATTTAAAAGCTAACCGTGCAATCCGTCAAATTGTTGATGTCATTTCCGAAAGCCAAAAGTATAACAAGTACGTTACCTTCACCTATGCTTTCCTTGCCTTCTCTCTCATTTCACTTGTCGTGGAAATTGTGGTGATACGAAACTGTTTTTTTTTTCAGGTTGGTGAAGCTACTTGAAGACATAATGGATGGAAGCAGAATTCTTGTCTTCCTTGATACAAAAAAGGGATGTGACCAAATCACTCGTCAGCTTCGCATGGATGGTTGGCCTGCTTTGTCAATACATGGTGATAAAAGTCAAGCCGAGAGAGATTGGGTTCTTTCTGAGTTTAGATCAGGCAAAAGCCCTATAATGACTGCTACAGATGTTGCAGCTCGTGGATTAGGTACTACAAAATCTTCTTCTCCTCCTCTTCAACTCTCTTTACCATGCGAGACAAGCTAACAAACGTCTTTTCTTTTGAACAGACGTGAAAGATGTGATGTATGTGATAAACTACGACTTCCCTGGATCACTAGAGGATTACGTTCATAGGATTGGACGAACGGGTAGAGCAGGGGCTAAAGGAACAGCTTACACTTTCTTCACAGTCGCGAATGCAAGATTCGCCAAAGAACTTATCAACATACTCGAAGAAGCTGGACAGAAAGTAAGCTCCGAATTATCATCAATGGGTCGCAGCACCGCTCCTCCTCCTCCAGGTCAGTTCACCGTAATAAAAAGTTATGATCTTTTATAATAATAAAGTTTTGATTTTTATGGTTCATGTTGTTGTGGTAACAGGGCTTGGAGGATTTAGAGACCGTGGGAGTAGAAGAGGATGGAGCTAAATCACTACTGTTTCTATCTCTATTTGTTCTCTTTTTGTTTCTGAAAACATTTGACATTAAAATATGTAAGATAACATTTGATCCGATCATTCGAATTAGGGTAAAGATTTGTGGTTAAGAACAAAATCAAACATATAACTTTTCTTCAGAAAAATAATTATCAATTTGCTTAGTAGTTATATTAATCAAATCTGCGTCCTGTAATATATTTAAAAGGTCTAATTTTTAACAAAAATCGTAATTTTATCTGAAAAAAATATACACATTTTCTGGGTTTTAATAAAAAAGCAAGTAAAATCCCTAAATTTGTTAACATAAAAGCTCAGAATAAGGAAGAAGAAAACGTGACATTTGCACAAAGAAAACGAAATCGCCATGAGTGAAGAAGGTCCCAAGCTTTACACCAATAAACCCAAGAAGAAAGGTAAAAGAAGAAAAAATCAAAATCATGTTTTTATTTTCTTCTTCTCCGATTAAACAAACACAAAGGCTGTCGCTTTTATTCCACAGCTCACACACTCAACGAATCTCTTATCACGGTTTTGGGATTTATAC